TTTATTTCTTTCTTAATCTCTCTCTTCCCCTCTCTTTATCTTTCTTAGCCTCTCACTTTCTTCATTCTGTCTCTTATTCTCTTTCTTTCTCTCTTTCTCTATTTCTCTTAGTCTCTCTCTTTCTTTTTATCTCTCTATTAGTCCCTCTCACTCTTAGTCCGTCTCTCTTTTTTTCTCTTTCTTAATCTCTCTCTCTTAGTCTCTCTCTCTCTCTCTCTCTCTCAAATAAGACAATCAAACCGTATTATAACGGTTGAGTTCCCAACAGTTTCCCCTTTTACATCTATCCAATCTTCGCCCATCAGTCGCTGAGTGGTGTCACTCACAGATTGCTAATTTTGTCTCAGCTATGACTATAGGCTACTAATTTGGCAAACTAGGGTCAATAGCAATGTATTTTCGGAGCCTAGATTTAGTGACCAGAGACAAGGCTAGGGACAATGGCAGGGAACTATTTAAAAAGCAATAGGAGAAAAGTTGTATCGTCCTTGTGTTGGTAATTGCAAAATGGTACTTTGTACGACACAAGTACCCTACAGAGTACCCAATGAGGATTTAAGACAGTATTGCATTATGAACATACGTTTAGGCTCCTCAGACAGTTTTTGTCAACGACTGATCAGTTTCCGTCTCCATTGTGGTTCGATTCCGTTTGCGACAATGTTAACAAAAATGAGAATGACTCGATGGACATTCAACAAAGAAACGGAAGGGGAGACATCTCAGTGGGTGAACAATTTCAAAATACAATCGTTTCAAGATATTGAAAAATACAGTTCTTTATTTATAATTTCAATGTAATTGATACTGTATGTGGGTAGGTCAGTGACACTTGGGACATCTTTGCTGCCACTTCTGTCTTTTTTTCACGAGGGACTAACGGACTAGATCACTTCGGTCAGCAAGAACGCCGTGTTTACAATGGTTCTTACTCGAAATCTAACTCTTCTCATTATCTAGAATGTGGTTTGACTATATAAACCTATGGCGGGATTTCCCTACCTTCCAACTGAATATCACTTGACCTCGAAAGTTTGTATTTATCTATTAATTTTTTTTTCTACTCATGGTGGTTGCTTTGAAAATCTCGATTTTACTGAAGTCGTAGTTGAGAGCAAACACAGATAAAATCATGTACAGTTCATTCGACTATATCTGTGGGCACCCATTGTTGCACAATATTAAACCATTAGACAAACTTGCTAATAACTGCTTCCCCTCTAGGAGGATTCATTTATAAAACGTATAAAGGCCACAGGAATGGATCATCTAGTGATATACATAGTCTGCAATATTAACTTGTTCACTACTGTGAAGCATATATTGCATTTCTTAGAATGTTGGTCGCAAACGTTACTCATGATCGTCTGGGTAGCATTCCAATTAATATTCTTTTAATATATCTTTATTCTCTCAAAGCAAGGTGTATGTTTGGGGAAGTACTTAGCAGTGCCCTATTCCCTTATAAATAGCATGCGACAGAAAGTATTGGGCTATATGGTGTCAGTAAAAGGAGAAATCACTGACCTATTATTGAAGGCTGAGGATGGATTGCCTTACAAGGTTAAATTGTTTTACTATTTAACCACATCTTGGGAGAAGTGGATTCCTACCTTTTGCTAATGTGAACACAAATTCGAACCGCATTCGTTGAATCTATTCTCATTGCTGCTAGGCTACCAGCAGTTACATTCCCGTTTTATCTATCAGTGTACAAGTTTTCCTCAGCATTGAGAATCATCTAATTGAAGCAAAAGCGATAAATCTAGTTACCGACAACCTCGTTTACTCAGGTAATTTTTCTACACATTAAGAACAAGGCGACATTGAAATGACGTAAGAAGTTAATTTGCTTTTGCATATATTATATCAAATAGGCTTTAATATTATTCTGTCTTTCTCATGTTATCCCGTTTCTATATTTTGATATTAATTACTTCACGGGATGAGATTTTCTTTTTCCTTCTAACTTTTGTTCAGCCAACAATTATCATAAATAAGTGTGGTTAGCAATTATACCGGGTGTAACAGCAAAATTGTTCAATTGTTAGCTTAAGCTTTATACAGTTGCATCTTAGAAATGAGTAAAGATATCTTACTGGAATTCTTCGAGGTTTTTATAACACTATTTGACTCTACTTTGAAGAATAAAAATGTATTTAGCTCTAAGTTGAAATGATGATCCCTCTTGCAGTTGTGACCTCATCCAGTTTTCTTCTTTACCGTTCCCTTTTTGAATCTTATTCACCGTCCATTTGATGCTTCTGCAACGGAATTTGTAGATGGAAGCCAGAGTATGAATAAAAGAGTACTGTTACTGAAGGACCGAATGACCTTTTTTGTATCACCATTGCTCAGTTGGGAAGATATAGTGGGGATGACACAAAATGATTTTTAACATGTTTTCTTTCTCAAAGGTTTTTTCAGTGATTCTTACGAAAAATAGTGTCAAGATGGCTAAACGTCTTATCTGAAAACCTGGAAAAAAGAAACTCAATTAGTTTTGCGGTTTTTTAGATATTAAAAATTTTGTGGGATGGACAATTATCCGATTTGGACAATTTTGCTGTAACACCCCGTATATTATAAATAAATATATATAATACTTACATTTTATATATATATATATATATATATATATATATATATATATATATATATATATATATATTACATGAATCATTCATACAAAAAAACAAATATAGAGGTTAATGATTTAAATGGCGAGAATACATCTTCGCAAACAATTTCAATAAGGTACATTAACCCCGAAATTCCAGTTGCATAAGGTCTTTCGTCTGTTCCTACAGACATTCTCAGGTATGGAAATAGATTTTGTTCTTGTTTTTTACTTCTCGGTAAAAAGAGGACAACGAAAATAGAGATGTAATCCGAAAAAATGCTATGAGAAATGTATTATTGTTTTGGAACGTGCGGTCGCAACGCTAAGTTTGAATTTTAAATTTTAAGGTTGTGTGTTTTTGTACAACTATAGTAATAAGAGAATTCTTTTTTACTGGTAGGTTTTCCGTCAATGTGGCATGAACTATATTGTTCAATAATTACAGGAATGTCACACTTATTATCCGAAAGTTGCACGTTGGATCAGTTATTTTAATTTCGATTATAGGCGCAGTTCAATTTATAATTACATGAATTATTCATACAAAAAACAAATATAGAGGTTAATGATTTAAATGGCGAGAATACATCTTCGCAAACAATTTCAATAAGGTACACTAACCCCGAACCTTTGTTTTTTGTATGAATGATTCGATGTCCTCTTATTACCGAGAAGTAAAAAACAAGAACAAATCTCTTTCCATACTTGAGGATGTCTGTAGGAACAGACGAAAGCTTGTAAAAAATTAAAAAAGACCTTATGCAACTGGAATTTATAAACAGGGATCATATCATTCATATACAGGTTCGGGGTTAGTGTACCTTATTGAAATTGTTTTCGAAGATGTATTCTCGCCATTTAAATCATTAACCTCTATATTTGTTTTTTGTATGAATGATTCATGTAATTATAAATTGAATTGCACCTATAATCGATAATATATATATATATATATATATATATATATATATATATATATATATATATAAAGGGATGAGGTTGTAGTAGTTCCAACGAGAGAAAAGTGTGTATATTAAAAAGAAGAGAGAAACCGCAAACGTTTTTGGTTGTAATGTGGATTTTTTAAAAAATATATTATTCTTTAATTTCCATAATTTTGCTACACGCGTTTCCTGTCTGGTGGCCTTCGTCAGGCAAAGAATGGATATTTCCACATATTATTAAAAGGAATTATCTCCTTTTAATAATATTTCCACATATTAATAAAAGGAATTAAGAGTCTACTGGAAGTGAAAGAGAACAAGAAGAATTTAGAAGGGAACCCAATTCTAAATAAGAAACAAGAGCTAAAACTCTACTCCTGTTCTAAAGACCAAGAGTGGGGGAGCGAATTGTACGATAGATGGACCTATCTACTCCTATTGAGAAAAAAACATAGTAAATAAAATTTCACGGTTGAGACGGAGACGTCAGAAGTTTAGAGTTGAAAAAGACTTTAGGATGACCAGGAAACGTAATCCTAAACAGGAACCAAGGGATAAACCTATACTCCTTTTCTAAGACCGGGGTTGGGGGGAGGTAGTGTGAACCAGACGCTGGGCGAACCTATCTACTCCTATTGACGAAAAAAGTAAGACCGAATGAGTGTGATACTGCGCAAGTATCCACAAAAAATAAGTAAACGAAAGAAAATTATTGATTATTCCATGTTAAACGTTAATTTCTGTTCACAAATAAAGAGCATCCCAGGAGAATCAAAAAGATTGTTAGAGCTACAAAAGACGAGAAAAGCTTGTTATCCATCACTCCACGCGGAAGCATTTTTCAAAAATAATTTTGGAGGTGAAAGTAACGTAACGATTCTCATTACAAGGACCTGATTCCATTTCTTCGCCACTTCTCGATCTATGAGTGAAATAGTAGGGTAAACTAGTCTCTCTAGACTTGAATTTCAATCTAGAAGAAGAACAAAACTGAATTGAAAAATGTCGAGTCAACAACTCCACATTCTTTTTTTCACGACAATTCACAGATAATGAAGAAAGGGAAGCAGTGGAGAGCCATGTTAGTCTATCCCCTGAAGGGATATGATATTTAAAAAAAGTTTAACTTAGTAGGACACAAATGTGAGGCACCTAGTGAGTATCTAACAATAAAGATAAAGGTCGGCGAGACTAGACTCTCAGCTATTGTTCTGCGTAGAAGGGCTTTATACTAGTATTAATCTGATGTTGAATCATAGTCAGGGTATGGTGGTTTTATTAGTAATACAAGATAGACCCAAGTGAAGATCCGAGGTCAAATTCCATGGAGTAATGTTTACCGAAGATTACGTCATAGTTTTCCATTCCTCAAAGAGTGAGGAGTGTCTTGTCTTCCATAAAATTTACTTGATGAAGGATACTAATCCCTTAACTCAAAGACCGATTGTAAATGTCGATTCACTTCTAAGTTTCCCATCTGGGTACAACACTTTAATGGCGTTTCTTCTGCAAATGATGGTGTTAGTTGCTATAGCGAGGAGAGAGAGAAAAAGAGCGAGAGAAATGGGGAAGTCGGAGAAGGAACATGATGATAGAAAGGAAGACAGAAGAAGAGAGAGTGGGTAAGTGTGAGAAAAGGATACGATAAGAGAAAGATAGAAAGTATAGAGTGAGAAAAGGAAAGAGAGAAGGACAAAGAAGGAATGTGTGTGGAAGAAAATGAGAAGATGATAGAAAGAGTGATAAACGGAGAGAGAGTGAGAAAGTGGGAGAGAAGGATAGTATGGAAGAAAGGAAGAGAGAAAGAGATAGAGCGGTGAAGTAGGAGGAATAGGATGATAGAAAGGTAGACAGAACAAGACTGGAAAAGTGGGGGAAAGAATACGATGAGAGAAAGGGAGAGAGAGAGAGAGGGCGTGGTAGGAGAAGGAACAGGATGATAGAAAAGGAGATAGAAGAAGAGTAAGTGAGAAGGATACGATTAGAGAAAGATAGAAAGTGAGAAATAAGAGGAAAGTATAGCATGAGAGACGGACAGAGATGTGGGGAGTGTGAGAAAGTGCGAGAAGGAGAGAATGATAGAAAGAGTAATAAACGGAGAGCAAGAAAGTGGGAGAGAAGGATAGAATAAAAGAAACGTAGAGAGAAGGAGAGAAAATGGGGAAAAGGATAGGATGAGAGAAATGGCGAGAGATAGAGACGGATAGATAGATAGATAGAGAGAGAGAGAGAGAGAGAGAGAGAGAGAGAGAGAGAGAGATAGCAGAGAAGGATGCGAAGATGTTAATGGGAGATAAAACGGTTTGGATGGTAGACATACCAGTAATGTGAAGGAAACAAGCGCATTTGGATCAATGGAGATGGCGGCATCGGTGGTGACAGGACCAAGAAAAGAAACGAAAATAATTGGAGTAGTAAAGAGAATTCCAAGGCCAAATGGTGATGGTGGTGGTGGTGGAGAATAGTGGCAAGAATTGAAGGGCAGGCAGTAGTAATAATAGATGAAGAAACAGGTGTGGGGATGAAGCTGTTGGCGGTGGTGGATGTTGTATCGTAGAAGATGGCAGCAGTCGAGTAAAGAAATTCGAGGGTGCGTCAGTGGCAGGAGACAAATATGGGCTAATTTGTGTTGGAGGTGCTGGTAGCTTTTGTAAAGGGGAGGACGTCGAGGTTGTGCAAAAATAGCTAGAGGTTGTGGAGATGGTGTCTGTGACAAACATCAGACCTAAGGTCGTGGCCGTCATTGTCCGGGCCTCATGGAATGTAGGTTGATGAACTGGAAATGGCTGACAGCTTATTTCGTGGCAACAATCAATTTGGAAGATCGAAATCAACAATAATGCTGCCATGTATTTACCGATGCAGAAATACTAAATATTGAACCATTCAATACGCTTCGGTGGGGTAACTTGAGTGTTCGAATCTAAGCAATGGACGAGATACTAATGTCAGGCTACAAAGCTGCAGCGTCTATCTCTCATATGTAAAATATTTATTTAAAGTACCATGCTACTTCGGAATATCTCACACTCTTCAAGGCTTAGACGATCACAGCCCTCCACAGATTCCTTTTTCTTTGTTATGTGTGAATTGCCATTCATTTTTGGGAAAGGCAGTGTACTAGTTTCAAGTTGCCTTGTCCATCATTTAGAATACAGAACTGTCTTTCTCTCTTCATGACTTAATGGTTCATGGCTCTCCACGGATTATTTTCCCTTATTATATAGGAATTATTATGTCTTCTTATGAGAAATAGTCGAGTTGCTTCAAGTTGCTTTCTCTATGGTTTTGAATTCCTTTTCTCTTGCATTTATTATCATATAATTATAGCATGCTATTTAACCTATTGCTGGGGAAAGAAGATACAGTTTCATGCCTTTCCCAAGATTATTAATGGTACAGGAAGCGGGAGTCTTGGTGGGATTTTGAACTTGTTTCGCTGATTTCATTTTCTGCGCCGATAACATTTACCCCCCCTTTAAAGTTTGATTGCTTGATAATCTTCGTCAATGACATGAACCGTATCAAACGAAAGAGCAAGGTAATATAATGTTTTGTCAAAGAGATTGGACGTTCTAACAGTAACATGACATTGCTCGACTGAAATGTTACTGATTTGGGAAACAGGTTGAAAATTTATTATTTTTCACCCGAATGTAGTTAAGCCTTCTTTCACGTTTCTTTTTCTATCTGCCTTGTCCCTTAAGGATCATGGATCTCCACAACTTCCTATTTTTTGTAGCTCTACGCAATGTTTGACTTTTTACCATCCCCCCATTCTGATATCCATTTAAATAAGATCGTCGGGTAGTTGGCTTGCTACTCCTCGTCCCCTTTTACATTCGACATGTCTTGTGAGTGTTAAATTTTCTAAGCCCTCTCTCCTCATTATATGACCTAGAAATTTCAACTATCTCTTTCTGATTCTAAGTATGTTTTATTTTGTTTCTATTTTCCTTAAAATACTCTCGTTGCTGACATGTTTTGTCCACGGTATTCTCAGCATCCTTCTGTAGAACCCTATTTCATTTGCCTCAAGTTTCTTCTTCATCTGTGAGGAAATCTTCCAGTATTCACTACCATATAGCAGGGTTGATAAAACAGTTTAGTATTTTTCTCAGTTTCTAAAGAGATTTTCATGTTTCCTCTTACGATGCTTAGTTTCTGGAAAGCACTTTCTTTGTACCAATGCGCTTTCAGATTTCGGGCTCCTATTTTCCATCCTCTGTTAAAAAATTTCGCAGATATTTCAACTTCTGTACTAGTTTGATATTGAAATCGTAAATTCGTAGTTCGCCTCTTGGGCTTTTTCTAGCAAAGCTGTTTTAGATGTAATTTTATTTTCATCAAACTACTATTTCCGTTCAGGGGGTAGGCGATCATGGTTCTCCAAAATGGAGTTTTTTTTTTTTTTTATTATCTCTTAATTTTAGGAAAGCGGGATGATTTCCAGTTTTTGAAAGCTTTCGATTCAGAGTAATTATTCTCCTACACTGGCTACCATCTAAGGCTAAAGAGGTCTGTCTACCCTACTATTTTTCTACCTCTATGGAGGTTCATGCCTTTCCCAAGGGCATAAGTGAAAAAGTAGACACAGCTAGATAAGCAGGAATTAGAAGAGCGAAGGCACATATTTTGAAGATTAAACGCCTTTATATTAAATATGGCGCCTGTGTAAATTCGAATTTCACGAGTAACAAAGTCTTCCAGCTCAGAAAAAAGACAATATTTTCAGCAGTGATGTTCCTGTTTTAAAGAATGGCATAATAATGTCTACCTGCTTCCAATTTATGTGACTAATTTGACCTTGAGATAATATTTACCTAGCCTCTCCACAAAGGTAAGATGTGACACAAGGTCTTTTTTTAAAATACACATTCCCATAAATATACATACGAGCCCAGAACTAAAACCGCCCAATTTTCACGACGTCTGTCACGCTGGTGTCGATCTTGTGATGCATTAAACTAATAAGAAAATATTTTTTTTTTCAAATTACCATTTCCCTTAAGGACGTAGGCGATCATGGTTCTCTAAAATCTTTTATTATCTGTAAATACTGTGAAAGCTGAATGATATCCAGTTGCTTTTTTTTCATTGTTTTCCGTTTGGTGTAGTCATTCTCTGGATCGAGTTCTCTGTCTACCTTACGATTTAACCCATAGCGGGTGAAGGTAAAAGAATCGGATTCACCTCTAACCCAACATGCAAAGGTGAATACAACTGGATCGATCTGAACCTGGTTCGCTGATTCACGTTTCTGTGAGTTAGCCCAAATGACTTGACTCACTTTATAGTCCACCAATAGATGGTTAACCAATCAGAAGACGTAGAATATTCAATCCGTCGTGTATAAAGGCGGCCATTTTGTTTACTCTATCAGAATGTCCAGTGCCAGCTTGTCAGGCGAAGAGGAACAGAAGGAAGAACTACGCTCTGCTAATTTTACCGGGATATCCACTGCTAACCTGAAATACGCTTCCCTACTGTCTTCGAAATATTCACTGCTAACCTCTGGATTCTATACTCAAAGACGACCGTCATCATGAACAACACTTTTCAACAACGAAATCATCTTCTAAACTTTCACAAACATTCCAACTTCAAGTCTCATCAAGAGCAGTCAAAGGAAGACAACTTTATTCGAACTAAATTTACATAAATTTAATGTGAATTTATTATTTGACACAAACTGTTTAATTTTCTTATCAACAGTTTATTACTACATCCTACTTTGTGAAACTTTCATCACATATTTTGCAACAGTTACTCTATCAGTTCAACTCACAAACATCATTCACACACACACACACACACACACACACACACACACACACACACACACACACACACACACACACACGCATGGCTAAGATACAAAGACGAGCTGAAAAGCAACTTGTCAGCAGTCAATATACCACATAACATCCTTGAGCGCTTAGCCTTGGAGCGGGTAGAATGGAGATTAACGTGTTTTAGTGGACTCAGCAATTTTCAATCTGCTTGTCTGAATCATCTTCAAGAAGCGAGAGCAATATCTAAAAGGTCAGCCAATCTAACAGTGATCTCATCTCACAATCCTAACACTTACTCCATATGTGGCCTCCTTTGTAAATCACTAGCGGGTCTTAAATGCCACTTACGATTATCGCACAAAATTTCATAACTGAATCAATAAGCTGTCAGTTCCTTATACGTCGAAACCGACTGAGAGACCATTATATATATATATATATATATATATATATATATATATATATATATATATATATAAATTGTATATCATTGTAATCTTCATACAATATAAATTAAAATTGATTATTATTCAATATAAATGCCATTGTCTTTTCTAAGTATTGTTGTATGCTTTTCTGTTTATTTTCGTTGAAGTATAATATAAATGTGTTGAGGCTACATGCCTCTGAACACGCAGCCCAAATTTATTTTCTTATCAACAGTTTATTACTACATCCTACTTTTATCACAAATTTTGCGACACTTAACCTCTCAGTTCAACTCACAAGCTTCATTCACACCACACACACAAATAGAGAGTTTAACATTAATCAAACTAACAAACAATATGAGATTTCAATAAAAAATCTACGCTTATTACAATACATATCATTGTAATCTTCATACGATATAAATGAAAATTGAATGTTATTCAATATAAATGCCTTTATCTTTTCTAAGTATTGTTGTACGCTTTTCTGTTTATTTTCGTTGAAGTATAATATAAATGTATTGAAGATACATGCCTCTGAACACGCAGCCCAAATGTATTCTTTCAACTATAAGGCTCAACATAGCAAGTCCTCTACAACTGGTGACATCGACGTCCACGAATTGGTGAACCTATCGTTTTCAAATTAGTAACAACAACATTCCGTCAATCAGTTATCGACAAGTCATCCGCAAATAGTGACTACAACCCTATTTATCTGATAACTTACACCAGACCTCAACCGACGTATAGCAATACATGAACATTATTTTATTGAGAAAATTGTCAAGTTAATACCATAGCCGATTCAAACGACTCATATATGGAGGTAGCAGTTACCGTCACTTTACCTTCATATAAGCAGACCAACGTCCAGGTTTGGTTTGCTCAGCTAAATGCTATATTTAATGCGAAGAAAAAAATCACATCTCAGATTTCTCGTTACGCTTATGTAGTAGAAAAATTAATGGCGGACGTGGCCACCGAGGTGTCTGGCCTATTGAACGAAATGCCAGTGGATAAGCCATATGATATTCTTAAGGACGCTATTATACACACAACCGGTGAAGCTGAGGAGTGTCGTTTGCATGG